AGTGATTTTGTGCTTCATTGTCCATATCTAAGCCCTTTCTCAGCAGATTTGATTCTAATGTTAATATCCATAACTACATCTAGGAAATTTTCCCTCTAGTGACTTTAATAATTACCTACCACAAACATGTACTAGTACAATTAAATATTTAAATGGAGGGTCGGTGAGATAGCTCAGCAGTCTAAAGCATCTGCTTAGGCAAGTTTAGGCAAGCACAGAGACAGTGGCCCAATCCCCAGCACCACATGCCTCGCCAGCCATTGTCTCAGGGCAAACTGAGCCCCCCACAAGAAGAAAGAAAAAAGAAAAATTAAAAAAGAACAGCATTTAATTTTCATAATGTATTTTATACTTATCAATCTTTTATTATAAGTATAAAAATGGTTGGGGCCCAGGGAGATGGCTCAGTAGAATAAGCGCTTCCTTGGCAAGTGTAAGGGTCTGAGTTCAATCCCTGGTTCTGCAAATAAATAAATAAATAAATAAATAAATAAATAAATGTAAAAATGAACTGTCAAATTGCTTTTAACCTTTATAGTATAACTTCCATATAGAAAATGATGAGGAAGTGAGTTATAAAATAGATGCTAGCACTAATCTAAGAAAACAATTCTTTGCTATCAACTTTTAAGCTGGTCTCACTTGATGCTATCACACACAATACAAAATGAAAAGCTCACGGCTGGTGAGATAGCTCAGTGGACTAAGCACCTGCTTAGGCAAACGCAGGGACAGGGTTCCATCCCCGGCACCCCATGGTGCACCAGCCCAGCCCCTGAGTGCACTGAGCTGGCAACCAAGACTGTGTGTGGTGGCACACACTTGTAATCCCCGCGCTGGGGAGGCTAAAAACAGGAGGATCACTATGAGTCCAAGCTGTGTAGTGAGACCCTGTACCAAATATATTAAAAATCAAGTAAGCAAGCAAGAAAGGCTCAGATCTGAAGATGTGAGTAAAATGTGCATATTGCTTTTTTTTTTTTTTTGCGGTCCTAGAGATTGAACTCAGGACCATGCGCTTGTGAGGCAGGTGCTTAAGCCACTGAGCTATCTGCCCGGTCCAATAGTACATTCTTAATTCTTTTTAAGTCCAAAAATATCTAACCATATAAAATCTCCTTTCCTTCTTCTCCACCTTCCCTTTACCTTTCCGTCCCCTGTCCTTTTGTATAAGATCTAGCTCCCTGTTTCCTGTTTTCTAATTTTTATTTTGCTCTAAAATTTGTTTATTGTAATCAGTTCAGAAATTTCTCAGAAAGCTAAAACTAGAAATTCCATTTGACCCAGCTACTCCCTAAGTATCTTCCCAAAAGATTTAAAAACATATTGTAAGTTGCTATTCTTTAAATCTGTTCCAAGTGAAAGAAATCACTGCTTCTATCTTACTTTTCAGTGTGCAAAAGTTATATATTTCGTTATTGCTTTTGTCAAATCTATTGGGAAGTAATACATGCTCTTTCTAAATTTAAAAAATATTTCATTATATTTTCTTTTATGTACTTTTAGCCAGTACCGAATGCCTGGTTTCACAAGATCATTTTTGTAATACAGACAATGGATAGACTCCAAACTTCTTGAAAGTCAGTTTTCAAAATTCCCTTTTTTCTTTAGAGGTCCCATCAGTTTATTTTAAGAGAACTTCTAAGAAGCCCAAAGTGAATTGCCTAGATTTTTCCTTCAAAATAGCCTACATGTAGTTACAGATATTTAAACTCCATTACAATCAAGATCTGCTGAGACAGCACTCAGATATTCAGTGAGTCCCTTGATCTCTTATCCTTTCTCTATAGTGTGTCAGTTACTTTTTATTTGTTGCTGGGACAAAATACCTGACACCCCAAATGAAGGAAGGAAAGGTTTATGCAGCCCACAGCAGTGGAGGTTTCAGTCCTTACCCAGCTGGCCCCCAGGCAGAGCGGCACATGGCACAAGGCAGCCTTCAGGGTGGCAGAAAACAGCAAAGAGCAAGGGGAGGGGCAGCAGCTGCAGCTCTGGCCAGCCTCTCCCCTGGGCTGGCGTGTAGACCTCGCACAATGTCCCTGCCCTCCTCGTGCTCAGGATGAGGATGTTTACAAGGAAGACTCCGGGCTGTCTGCTGAGTCACTTCATTAAACTTCTAAAGCTCTCAAGTTGACACAGTGTATCAACCCGTACATATAGATAAGAACAGCTACTTTCTTTCGCAAACACCCTTGGTGTTGTGGATTAACTAGACTAACTAGTAATGAAGCACATGGTTCTGGGTGTGAAGAACCCCCTGAGGATTGTCACCAACAGCATAAAAGGAGGACTGGGAGGGAGTGGTGGGTTGTTGATTTTCCTGGGGAAGCTGGTGTGCTGGCTTTCCTTATTTGACCTCGGCTGTTATCACCCGCGGAGCTGGGGACTCTCTGCTGCTGAGGGTGGCTGCGGTCCTTTGGGGAGCCTCCTGGCTCCAGGGCAGATCCTCAGCCTGCATCCCACTGACACCCACTTTCTGCTTCGACCACTAGGAAGACGTCTGCGCCTTCCCAGGGCAGATCCTTGCAAGAGACAGCCACGGGCTCCAGGCCCCCAGCAGGGACTCAGAGAGGACGCTGGCACGGGACCCAGGCCTCAGCTGGATTCTCTCAGTCTCTCATACATGGACAGATTCTCTTGCGCTCTTCTGCGTTTGACTCTTAGGGCGAATATTAGAAAATAATACTCTTAAGTTATGCATCCTGTGTTAAATCTATTCCCTTGTAAACTCTGACTACAGCACCGGAGGAGGGTGTGTTTGTTCCTTTATTGTTCTTCATGAGACGTGAAATGTCACTGACGAATTTCAGGAATCCCTAAAGTATCTTCTAAAGAATTATATAACTAATCTCAAAGTGCTTTATATTCACATAGCCCAGAATCTTGCTGAAATACTTAAATGTTACTTTCTTAAGCATAGAAAATAAGTAAGAAAAAGTACCTTATTTTAATGAAGCAACTATTGTACATTGTGATCTTGAGAACCCCAGAGAAGGGAATACAAAGCGTTTATGAGAAAGTAAAAGTATCTAATGTCCATAAAGCCACGATAACAATGCTTAGTGCACTCGGAGAAACAGGAGTGTAAAGGAAATTTGACTGGTTGAAAGCTGCAAGGAAAAGTATCAATACATAAATTCTGGGGCCGAGCGCATGTGTGGTGGTGTCAGAGAAAAGCAAATTGAGAAATAATCCTGACAAGTGAATGCTAAGAGTGAAGGCTGAAGGCAACATGGAACAAGTGGAAGGGGTACGGACAGCGGCTAAAGCAGTGAATGGTACAGCTGGTTACGAGACACACTCTGGGAAAAACTGGCCGACAGGATGAGACTCGGAACCTTTATCTGAAGTACTTGAAGATAAAGGTTAAAGTATCCAAAACTGAGAGGTAGATTGACTGCTACTGCCGCTTAGTCCTGATTAGACTGCAGACATGTACTTTAATTTTCTTTCCCTCAATTTCCTTACCGTGTAAGAGGCATAATAGTGTGTAGACACTAGACAACAATGAAAGTGCAGCTCTTGCAAGCTCTTTGGACTCTGATGCTGTGAAAGGAGGTTGCAGGTTTACAAATGAAAACCCTAAAAACGTTCCTCTAGCTGCCGTAATCAATAAAGATTGTATAGATGATGAAATAATCCAGACAGTTGTAGTCACACTAGCGCCGCTTTCTCCACTCATATCTGTAATTAGTTGTCATTCAGGCAAGAATACGACAGCTTACTTGACCTCGATAACTGCTGATAAGTTTCTTTATTCATATTTGGGTGAAATAAATGACTTTGAGGATTTGACAGAATACGTTAAGTCCACGAAAAGTGCAAAACTTCTTTAGGTTCTAATTCTATGCATGACAAATGGGGAGCTTTATTATCACATTTAACCTTCAGCATGTCTATCTTTAAAATATAGAGTCATATGTAAAATCTAGCATTTTCATACATTGCAGGAATTTATGACAGTCACCCTTTCTAACCTGTAAGGTTTGCGTTCTTAAAAAAGACAGGAATTACAATGAGATCTAATATTTACATCATTGGTATCTGCACGTACAATTTCTTCCACATCTTTTTTGTGTCACAGGGTCAAACTGTGAAAAGGCCAGATAGAATTGCCCCCTAAAATTCAAATATAAAGCAAGAAATAAGGAAGTAAAAATAAATATGTCAAATATACTTATTTCAGGTAAATATTGTTTTCTCTTCATCTGAAATTTTATCTTTTAAACATGGGCAATTGAGCAGAATAAATGCATTCCCTTCTTCAAAACAGATCAAAGTTATTCGTGATGAATATTCTATTTAATAGAGGTATATTGGGAGCTATCACAATTGATGGGATAAAACAAGAAATAAATGATGTTCAGGTTCCCTCTAAGTCTCTGCATGAGATTAGTACAAAATCAGTTGCTTATTTTTATCATTTTTCTGTTGATCAACTCTATTTTGAGATGATCTATAAAGAGATGATCAGGAAGGACTACAAATATTACCAACTTTGTAGGATTCATCAATTTACTGAAACTGTTCTGCTTGGAGTCCCATAAAACAATGTATGAATTTCTCCTTTCTATTTTGTGCCAGGACTGCATCAGCAACGCCACGTGATATAAGTCAGCCAAATTGCTGCACCCTAATGAATTGGCACTGCAGCCAAACAGCACCCAAAGGGACTGTCTAAACCTAAACCCTGACTCTGGCTTGGATGTAGGCTTTTCTAAGACAAAACTAGAGGACAAAAGTAAAGTGAAAAGCTGGATGCCTTTGTAATTCGTATTATAACTCCTGTCCCCTTTGTAAGCTCAGAAGTAAATGATGTTATGGAAAATAGACTTATGCATATGTTATGATGTGATTCTCCTTTTATAGAAGCAGGTTTTAAAATGAGTTCTTATTAATAAAATACAAACAATTTAGTCCCCACAGTTGGAAATCTCTTAACCACAGCAGGTATTTCAGTAATTGCTCTAATGCCTGTGTGTTCTCTTGCTCTTTTGCAGGCAGGCCAGTCATGATTGTGGTGGAATATATGGAGAATGGATCACTGGACTCCTTTTTGCGGGTGAGGTGCTCTTTTCTTATGGCATTTAAATGAGCTATTCTCAGTTCTAGATTTGGAATCATCTATCATAGATTAACTTTTGCATGCTATTTTGACTGGGTTTTTTCTTCCTTCCTTCCTTCCTTCCTTCCTTCCTTCCTTCCTTCCTTCCTATGTATTTGGTACAGGGTCTCACTACACAGCCCATAGTCATAGTGATCCTACTGCTTTCAGACTCCCCAGTTCCCAGTCTTGGTGGCTGGCTCAGTGCACCCAGGGGTGGGGCTGGTGCCACATGTCGTGCCGGGGATTGAACCCCTGCCCTTGCACTTGCCTAAGCAGGTGCTTAGTCTGATGAGCTATCTCTCTGGCCCATGGCTGGATTTTCTGTGAAGGATGGGAACAGTTTCTCTAGGGTATGTTTCTCTGATACTGTGATAGATTAGAACGTATCACTAAAGGAGCAGGATGTACATTTAATAACGTGTTTCCCTATAATACATTCACATACGTGTGCAGACTCATGCACAGACACATGCGCGTGCGCACGCGCATGCCCACACTTTGATGTTATCAGAGAGAAAGAAATTTAAACTCAGTTGTCTGCTACCCATTCATTTTGTTCTACACATTTAACAATTTAGTACGACATTTTATGGAATGTCCGTCCTGTTCAACCCCTTAAATTGCTGTGTGTTTACCAACCTGGATCCTGTTTATTTGAGAACCTAATTCTATTAACATTGCCTCCAAGTTCATTTGGCTGATTATTCCGAAAACAAAAGAAATAATAAAAATTCCTAAGCAGTGATTTGCTTTAGAACAATAATTTAAAAGCACTCTTTTAAATGCAACTTCTCCCTAAAAATAGAACACATCCAAAAAATCATTAGTTTTATATAGTGTACAAAATAACAAAAGATGAAAAAAACAACTGGAAGTCGTATTTCAGAACAGTCATGCATTTCGGATTCAGAAGGCCGCTTCGCGCTAGCAGAGGTCGCGTGACTGCTCGCCACTGTAGCATTTAAAGCGTATCTAACAACAGAAACAGCCCCTTTTTTTGCTTATGAAATAGCGATACTTTGCCACGTAGAATGTGTTATATTCTATTTTTATTTTCCTGTTAAAAAAAACCCTAAGCATTCTTTGTTACAAATTTGCCCGTGTTATTTCGACGAGTTTTCTTTGCATCTCGCTGTTGTTTTGATCCGTTTTCATTTATTTTTCTTGCTTCCATGCCCTCTTCTTGCAAATGCGCTCAGTATTAGCAATGGTGGTGCATCTACATTTGTGACTGAACTTGGCGTCCAGATTCAATAGCAGAAGCTGAATTCAGTAACTAAACGTGCTCATAAGGGAAAATGAAATTCATGGTTGGTTGGTAAATGAATGATTTCCTCTCTGCCGTAGCCATGGTTTAAAACATGTCTTTTATGACTGGAAATTAATTTCATCTGTATATGTTCTAAATTACTTTAGAATAATTTATCAGGACCACTTATGGTACATAGGATGCATAGGTACTCTGTCCTTCCATTCATTCATTCATTCATTCAAGTATCAAAATGACCCACTATCTAGTGATGTTTGGGATAGGGTGGCTTTCTGTTTCTTTTCTTATTTGATATCAGCTATTATCCTAAAGCAGAATATAATAGCCAATAAAATAGCAGATACTCAATTTAAATTGCTCCTGAAAATTGTGTCAGAATACTGCTACCAGCATATTTGTGAAGAAATGTTAGTTTTGGAGATAGCTTTTATTCTGCTGACTCATGAGTCAATTATGAATCATCAATAATGTTATAAAATAATTCACTGATAAGCATCCTACTATATTATAAGTGACATATTTCATGATTTACAGTTTAAAAACTATTATTTTCACATCTTACTATGTACCATGTAAATAGATATTCCCAGAGTCTGGGAATAAAATAACTGTTGGATTAATAATGGCTATCATCCTTCCACTATGACAACCTAAATGCCCTTCTCTACTAACACTGGCTCTGCCACCTACTGGCTGTATACCTTGGACATGCCAACAACTCTGTGCCTCTTCTTATCTGTCTGTAAATGGGGTATGAACAATGCCTACCTCATACGATTGTTTAAATAATTAAGTCACTTTTTCTAAAGCCTATAGAATTGTGACACATTGTAAATGGTAGAATGAAGACTGAATCTAAAGTCTTTTATGACTCAAAAAGCCGTATTCCAAACCCCACGCTCTGCTGAATTCTATTCATTAAATTGCCGACTACTTTCTTTATACTTATGCTTTCTCTGTGTTCTAGTACACTGTTTCTTTTCTCTCTTTCTTTCTTTCTTTCTTTCTTTCTTTCTTTCTTTCTTTCTTTCTTTCTTTCTTTCTTTCTTTTTTCTTTTAGTATAGGGGATCAAACTCAGGACCTTGTGCTTGCTGTACCACTGAGCTATGTCCCCAGCCTTTTCTCTGTATTCTATGTCTCCTCTGCACGTATAGTTTCTGTTAAAATTTAAATTATGGAAGTAAAATGTACAAAGAAAAACATAGGAAGGGGAAGAATTGTCATCCCATCCCATCCTTCCTTAACGTGGCTACTCTTCAGAAGCTCAAAGAGCATTGTAAACTTTATGTCAATAGCAGGCACTCAGCTCCCATGGTAAGCAGAAATAAAATATGTGTAGCCCATAAATTCTCAAAAGCAAAATCATTTTTCAAACTACTGCTTGAGAATTTTGATAATCGCAGCTTTTGTGAGCACGGAAACGAGGAAGTCCCTAAATGCACTGTGTAGTAGGGGCGACATCCTCAGCTCGTTAATAGCCTTCTACACTTACTGCAGGCAAAAAAGATTTCCCTTTGGCCTCACACACTATTTGAAAATCACTTCAATTTGCTATTTTATTATGAAAAACTGGTAGCAGAATGGAGTGCAAGATTACAGTCTAGAGCCAATGCTAGTGGCCGACTGACTGCGATACTTTGTTGAATTCATAAATCTCATGCTGTTTGAGGTACTTGTGAACATTTTTTAAGGTATATATTGGTAGTGGGGAGCCATGGCCAAGTGTATGGGTGTGTGTGTGTGTGTGTGTGTGCACGTGTGCACGTGCACGCATGCACAGAGTATGTCTGAGAGATTATGTGGGTGCTTTTAATTTAAAAATAAAATGTGGTCCAATTTAAGGAGGAAAACGTTAAGCCAGCTTCCCGGAGGCAGTGACGCCCAGCACCTACTCGTGTGCGTGTCGACCATTAGGACATCCATCTTCTTTGCTGAAGTGTTTACTCTAGTCCTCTGCCTATTTTTAATTAAATTCTTTTGTTTCATTTTGGAAATTAATTTATATATGCTGATTATTAATTTGTGACAGATACATAATTTTCAAATAGCTTATCTCTTGTAAATTACCTTTCTGTTCTGCTGGTAATGCCTTTTGATACACAAAAGATTTTCCTTTTTTTTTTTTTTCAGTATAGGGGATTGAACTCAGGACCCTGAGCTTGCCAGGCAGGTGCTTATTCTACTGAGCTATCTACCCAGCTCCAAGATTTTACTTTAGAGTAAATCTAACTTGTCTATTTTTTCCTTTTGTTTCCTGTCAATTTAGTGTCATATGCCAAACCCAATGTCATGAAGTTTTAAGCTATGTTTTCTCCTAATACTTTCATCATTTTATTTATTTGTAGATCTTTGATCCATTTTGAGTTTGTTTTTACATTGAGGATTAATTTTTATGTTGAGTATATGAACACCAGCTTTCTCTGCACCACTTATGAAAAGGACTGTCTTTTTCCCACTGAATGATCTTGGGCATCTTTTTCTAAAATATAATAATTGGTATGCTGGTGTAAAATAAGCCACAAACTGCATAACTTATAAATAACAGGAGTTTACTTCTTGCCATTCTGATTGCTACTATGTACAAGTTCAAGACAAGAGCAAATTCAGCATCTGATGAGGACTCACTTGCTACTTCTACAATGGAACACCTCCTTGCTCCATCCCCCCCCAGCTGAGGGAAACTGTGTCCTTACAATAGGGAAGATTTAACATGAAAAAATGTTCCTTTTAACTTATTTTATTTCTAGCAACCTCTTTGTTTCTTTTTTAATTAGCATGAACTCAGTGATTACTTACCTGAAAGCAGTTTTAACTACTATCCCAATTCCTTGCAGGCATCCTTGCTTTTCTGTTGTACCATTCACAAGTCAGAACCCCTATTATCTCAATTTTTATGTTCAGAGGAACGGAGCATTCTTGGTAAAAATAAATCACATAAGCATTTGCACTACTGCTGCAGTACATCTGTGTTCTTCAGTGTTAGCTGGAAGCTTGGTATGATTTCTGAACTATTTCAATTTCTCCATGATTAAAGACTATGACCAGGCAAGGGAGATAGCTCAGTGGCATAAGCACCTGCCTGTCAAGTGCAAGGTCCTGAGTTTGATCCCCAGTACCGGGGGAGGGGGGGAGACAGACAGAGAGAGAGAGAGAGAGAGAGAGAGAGAGAGAGACAGAGAGAGAGAGAGGACAACGAGTGAGAAAGAAAGAAGAAGAAAGAAAGAAAGAAAGAAAGAAAGAAAGAAAGAAAGAAAGAAAGACTATAACCAACAGGTTAACAAGCATAATACACATAACTAATACTAATGAGTGAGGAACTAAGACACATGCTTTAAAAGTCTTATAAGTTGTGTAGTTGATAACTCTTGTTGAGGCCCTAAAAAGACTATTCCTAGAGTGGAACCGTGTTTTCACTAACTGAACTCTCAATGCTCAGTGACTGTTCTTAGTTTCAGAAAGCATTCTAAGCTTTCTCCTCTAATGAAGATCTGTCCCCATGCTAATGTTAGTGTTGTGTAGAAACAGAACTGCATCAGGTGTCTGTTTCTTCATCCCAGCCCAGGCTCTCAAACACCTGCAAGATGCTGTAGCTTTCCTGTCCAAAGTTAACCTACCAGGGCCCTTGATCTTTTATTTCCTTATCTTCTGAATGGGGAATATTTGGCCTTATGAATTTATTTTCTT